CTTTAACAGATTATATGGTCCATTCAGATAATGCTAATTGTGAATACTAATAAGTCTTTTTGATTATTGTTATCTGGTTATTAGTTTAGAGTCAGTATCAATAGATGATCAGTGTATTACCCTTTTTCTTGCCAGTCAGTATCAATAAAACTTAAACCCCAGAGTAATTATGTTTTCTTTTTGGCGCAGTAAGTCAAAAGATTTGACTTGATATCATTTATAAATGAATGAAATGATCAACTCTAGCAACTGAATTAATTGCCTCCAAGTCAGAGATCAGCAAGGATGCTTGGTTGTTTAAAAAGAAGGAAAATCCTTACATTTGATACTGCAGTTTAAACTAATTCTTTCATTCAACAAATACTTAGTACCCATTAAGCATGCATCGGAGATACAAAGTACAGTCCCCACACTTAAGGAGTTTGCAGTATAGTTGAGTCAGAATTCTCCTTATCCTCCACAACACCTAATAGAAGTCTCGTACATAGATGTTCAAAATTAATTCACTTAGCAAATATTTATTATGTATGCCTAGTATGTGCCAACAGTGGTTGACAGATGATGCCACATTCTTACCTGGCTAATTTCTGTAGGTGGATGGTTCTTGGGAATTACAAATATGTCCATACTTTTCATGGGTTACTAGGAATTAAAATTGGAAAATTATCTTCCATTCTCCCAGCATATAAATAGTGTTTCTTAATTAGTGAAAAGGAGGTTAAATTCATTAGACATCACAAGGCAATGGAAATCTTTCATAGTAAAAACTGTTCTGCATTGAGAGACTTTCTTTTCTATTAGTTGCAAATATTTAAATCATGTTTTAAGGAATATTTTTCCTTAATTTTAATCTATCCTATAAATATCACTGTGGTGGTAAATTAAACAAAATTTTAAAGCAAGAAAAATTAGCCCCCAGCATAGAAACTCTTTGTTTTGTATCTTATTTTCAAATAATGTGATGTTTTAAACTATTGGTTCACAACTTTGAGGAGGCTTTTGCCTCCTCAAAGAAAATTGGCAACATCTGGAGACATTTTTGGCTGTCACACTGGGTGAGAGCTTAGGAGGAGGCTACTGGAATCTTGTGGATAGAGACCAGCGATGTTGCTAAACATCTTGCAATGCACAGGACAGCCCCCTACAACCAAGAATCGTCCAGCACAAAATGTCATCATACTAAGATTGAGGAATGTTGTTTTAGATCGTATATTTGTAGCAAATGGTGAAACGCATCCGAACATTGTATATAACATATAACACCAAAACATAAGAGATTAAAAACAGTTATTTCATTTTTTTCTCCACTCAGGATACCTGTTTTATTGAACAGAAGGCTTTTGGATGACATCTATAGACCAGGAAATATAGGTTCCAAACTTTTCAAAGGCGTAAGGTTTGAGTTCTCAAAGAGTTTGCATTGTAAAAATAGAGATGATATACAAACAAAAAGTTACAAAAGAATATGCCCTGTTTTATCATAGAGCTAAGCAGTAAATAGCTTTGTTGGGTGGGTCAGAGAAGGCTTGACAGAAGAGATGAAGTTTGAGTAGTGTGTAGAAATTCTGCTCAGACGTTAACACTCAGGTGCTAGCTGGGAAAGGACAGCGCAAGCAGAGAGAGTGATGTGTGTGAAAACCTGGAAGCTTGTTAAACAGCAATCATTGATTGTATGTAGTTTATTATGTTGAGATGAGTCTGGAGTTTTAGGTAGAGACCTGCTTTAGGAGGAACTTGAATCCAGAATATTTGGACTTCATCCTGAGGATAGGGGTGTGATATGACTAATCTGCATTGTACAAAGATCATTCTGATGGTTATACGCAGAATGGAGATGAGAAACACTTTACAGTATTTTAACTGACACAGTAGGAGATCATGAAGGTCTGAGATAACATAGGAAGGTCCAATGCTCAGGATGTGGTATCTCTTGAATGGTATAGGAAAACAGTAGATAAAAAAGATGTTGGATAACTTGTATGTTTCACGGATGGTGGAACCATTAACTAGGACAGAAAATATAAAGTCAGAAGGTACATGGTGGAACTAATTTTTCTCCAAAGATGTTTTTTTTGAGGTGTCTGTAGAACGTATGTTTTTTGGCCCAGGAGTTTATTGAATACTTACCCAATTTTGAGTATTAGAAATGGCACAAAGGAAGCATGGCAGCTTAGGGGCAAAGAATTCCACTTGTAAATATGCCTGTGATTGCATTGAAGGCCTTGGAAATACTACTTTTTTTTTCATCTGTAATATTTGGAGTGTTCTGATGGAAACGTACCTCTTAGGGGAGTTGATATAACTGATATTGAGCTAAAGAATAATAAATTCAGACTAAATAATTGACTATTATACAGCATTTGAAAAATTATAGTAGTTAAACATTCTGGGGGCCATAGTTACCATTTGCCATGATAAATGTTTATACACTAAAGTTAGGTTCCTAAGATCACTCATTTTGATAGTCTTTGAATAACATCGGCTGAGTTGCATGGATTACCTCTGGTATGCTTTAGATAAGCTTTTGTTCTTAGTTTTCTACTTTTCATTACTCGTATAATTTTTACCTGCTTTTACATTAGAAGGAAAACTTTGTCCTACTGGTTAGATCCAAACTTCTTGTGCTAAGTATTTTTTATACGTTCACTGTTAAAAAAAAAAAAAAATACTACCTTCAGAATGTTCACTGAAAATGCTTAGCTAATGAACATGAAAAGAAAAACAGTTGTAAAATGTTTGCCATTACTGAATTGTTTTAATGTTCTTCATTGAGGCTTCTCTGTTCATCAACCCTTTGAGCAGGAAGCAGTATAAGGTTTCTTATGATTATTACTACTAACACATTGTAAAGGTCTTTTTCCTTTAATCTATTTAGTACAGGATCTATTTAGTACTGGCCTGTGTCCCAGAATACCATCAGAGATAAGGCTATTATCCTTTCATTGAGTATTATCCTGGGAAAGTATTTATAAAATTGAACTCCATTGCACCTGCTGACCTCCTTTTTTAAATGAAGAAAGGGTGGGGATAGAGATTATGCTAACTGAATTCAGATGAAGCAGTGTATTTGGCAGCACTGACACAAAGTGCTTTAGTTAGGGCCTTTTATTTTGTGCAAATTGATTCCATCTTGGACTCTGAAAGAAATAAGTTGACAATTCAGATCAGGAAGTTGATGATCACATAGGGTGCTCCACACTTGCTGGCACAGTTGCTGTTTTTCCTAAGCAATTCTATACTAGGACTCCTAGCTATTTCAGGATTAATCTAAAATGTTTCCTTGCCATTGTTATGTTTTCTGCAAAATTAATATAAATGTAATCTAGTGACATTATATTCAAGTGTGAAAGACAATGCTCTTAGAAGAGTTAAATATTTAATATTCATCCTTAGCTTTTTAAAAAATAGATCATTAAAATGCAAAAGAATGGTCAAGCGCAATTTTTAAAACTTAGTTTCTTATTGAGCCTACTTTAAGCTTAAAAAACTTGAAGAACAGTGCCATGTAACTCACAATTATCGCTTTAAAAATATTTTGCATTGTCAGATTACTCAGATTATCTTTATATAAAATATATGCTACATGCACTCATATCAGTACGCTGTTAAGGCTCACATATTTAATCACTTGGATTTTTTGCTGGTTTGGGGCAGCATTGCTAAATTAAATGTTGGTTTGTGCCTTTCTAAAAATTATTTTGATTGATAGGACAAGATATAAATGAAATAAACTTGTTTCCAATTTTGTTGTCCCATTAAATCAAGCTATATCCTTTTTTCTATATTCCCTTCCAGTTCCTTCTCCTATGCTCACATGCCTTTTCCATAATTAACTCAGTGTTGCAGTCTGCTGTTCACATTATATTTTAAGCTTTTTCTATGGTGGTATAATATAAAAGTTCAGTATCATCATAATACAGATGCAAAGCTATTCTGTTTATTTCATAATAAAGTATTTGACCAAATTAGTAATCTGGTGGGAACAGCAGTTAATAAAATATAAACCGTTTATGTGATGAAATGCAGCAAAATTAGAACTGGAGCCTGGGTCTCCTCACTTAACAATATATTATACAATGAACCTTCCAGTATTCTAGTTGCTGTATTTTAAAATTAACGGATCAGGAAAATAAGACTTATGTTGGATTTAGTGGACTTTATCCATCTCAATTTTCTATACTAAGGAAATTAATGTATATACCAGCTTTATAGAGTTATAGTAAATTATATAATACATTAATGTATTATGTAAATTTTACACTGTACACATGTTATGTATATTCGATATGTGTTGGCCATATAATCAGAAAAATTAATGTTTTTTTGCATAACCAATCTACAGTTGAATTTAAGCTGTCTTAAACTCTGAAAACTAGGAATCACTTTTATCAGTTTATCAGTTTTATCAATTTGTTCCGTTTATTTACAGTTAGGAATGTTTCCTGCTTTTTAAATAAGTAATGTATTATCCAAATTTATATGAGTTAAATGCAGTAATTGTAAACATTTAGTAATGGTAGGCATAGGAAAAACAGGCATAACATGTAATTGAGCACAGGCTTTGTAGTCAAGAGACGTGGTGTTTAATCCCAGCTCTACTCCTACTAGCTCTATGTTCTTAGGCAAGTTATTTACCTCATCTCTTAGCCTCTATTTCCTTCTCTCTAAAGTAGGCTTAATAATACCTGCCTTATAGAGTTATAGTAAATTGTATAATACATAAATGTCATCTTGCAGAGAACCTGACACTCAATAAAGGTAGTTCTAGTACTTATTATTACCTTTAATATTAATTCAAATTTGTACATGAATTACATTAATAGTAATGTTAGAGAAGAATCAATTTTAAATGGTTGAGGACTTATACATCAAATCAGATTTCTATGAATTCTATAATGTTTGGAAAGTTGCATATGTTGAATGATACAAAATTAAAATGGATAGTGAGAGAATTTTTTCTAACTCTTCTGCCAGCTAACATATAATTTTTCTTTGAACAGGTTCAGCACTATGTAGCTACAACCTAAAGCCTTCTGAATACACTACATCTTCAAAATCTTCTGTTCTCTGCCCCAAACTACCAGTTCCAGCGAGGTAAATTTTATTGCAAAGTTGTTAACTTGTGACTATTGTTTTTGTAGGTAAATTTTAAACAATATATGTTATTCTGAGAAAATAGTTATTTGATACCTGTTGGCCAGGTCCAATACTTTTATAACAAAAATTTTAAAGTAGGAATAGAAATGACATTATATATTTAATATTTAAAAACAACAGGTAGACAGCCAACTTTTCTTGTTCTGAGATATTTTAAATTTATTTTAGGGGCTTGCTTTTTTTGTTTTTATTTTCATGCCATAATTTTTAAGTGCACAAAACCACTGAATTGCTGTAAAATCTGCAACAAACTTAGAAACCAACTCTCACAATCTCCAAAGAGTTTTTTTAATTGATCCTAGTACTATTTACTGGGATTGTTGTAAATTTACTTTGAGGATTTAGAAAGTATGCCAGTGATTATTCCCCATAGTTTCAGGTTATATTTTTTAGGACCATTCTCTGTATTAGGTTGTTTGCTATATCTTATCCAAGGTCTTATTCAACAAACATTTATTATTAAGTACCTACTGTGCATAATGGATACAAAGATGAAACAAGAAATGTTCTTTGGAAGGATCTCAAAGTAGTTACAAGTAAAGCAACATTTAAAATTATAAATAGATTTTTTGAAAGGAAATACATTATCAAGCATTGTAAAATATATGCTCAGAATTAGGTATATGTATATGTGTGTATGTATAGTTTTGTATATGCATTTGTGCACACACACACTCTTACACACTTTGGAATGTTGGTCAAATCACAACCTTAGTGTATATTGCCAACTGTGTGTAACATGAGTCAACTTCTCCAGGAAAATGTACTTGAGGCCACTTATAATTGCATCTCAATATATTATAGGAAGCTGTTGTATAAAAAATTTTGACACTCACGTCTACTTTCTTTTGGATTACTTATGGGTGTAACTTGGGTTTTATTAACTTGAATTTGAAATTTTCTGTTGAAAGTAGAAAAAAGGTGTATCAGTTAAATATATTTTCAGCTCATTAATCTTGTCAAGTTGCTATTGAAAATCAAAATTTAAAGCCTGTAGACATAAAACTAAAGGGACTATTTTAAAAGATAGTAAGAGAGACCTACAAATTATGGCCTTAAACCAACAGCTACGGAGATTACATTCATGTAAGTTGAGAATATTAGGGAGGCTGTGGCAGTAAAGAAAAGGGGATCCTTCGAATAGTCTTAGGAGAAAATTTATCCATATAAAAATGAGAAAAGCTCTATACCCTTATCTATCCAACTGGTAAGGTCTGTTTTAAACATATACTTTGAATATAGAATCATGCTTTCAAGATTAAAACATATTATGACAGGATAGCCAGAAAGCCTGGTTATGAGAGAGAGGTCTCTGCTCCTGTGTAATGGGGGCAGGATGTCAGGTGGGGGCAGCTCAGCTCATCCTGCACATCCTTCCCTGCCTCTGACCTCTGATGCCACTTTGTTGAGGACTGCCTGTTCCTGGTTATCTTGGTTTTTTCAGTTTTTGGTACACACATGCATCTCACAATGTCCTAGGGGTATTCACTGGAAGACAAAGAATAGTATCAGGGGAGAAGATTTTAGAGATGGACAAAAATGGCTTCTAACAAGGTCATCATCTAATATCTCACTAATCTAAAATGCAGTGCTGAACCTATACCATCTGAAAACTGCATGCTGTGTTTAAAAATCCTTATGTTTTACTTATTTTAGTACATCACAGTCTAAGTATGTTATCACTTTTGTCTGAACCAAGCCAGCTGGAAAGTAAAAGAGAAGAACATTTGATAGAAAGAAGGCAAATCTTGTAAATACCAGAGCTATGTAGTATTAGGTAAACAAACTGAAAGGATCTGAGAATAAGGATAAATTTGTTTTAATAAAAAGACTTGGGGCATCACCCCGTTCCACACATCGTTGTATTAGATACCAAGTTTCCAAAGGTGAGTAAGACCTAGTCTCTGTCCTTAAACTCATAGTCTAGTAGGGACTATGTTTTTGGTGACTTTTTTTAATGGCAAAAGACCAGCACCAGGCAAAACTATGAGACAGGCAAGTACCCCTCAGCATCCTTCACATCTCTTTTGGTGTCCTTCTAGGAGCATCCTACTGGGACAGAAGGACATGAACTTTGAGATAAGTCTGGGGTGAATTCCATATTACTTTCTATTTGTCACCTCTTGCAAGCCTCTTAACCTCTCTGTAAACCAAGTTTCTTCATGAGTGAAATGGGAATAGTCATACTCCCCTCAAGGAATTGTAAGAGTTAAACAAGATAATACTGATTAAACATCTATTACTGTGCTTGGCACTTGACTTAGGAGGTATTTCTTTAAACTTCTAGAACCTCTTCCTTTGGCCCGTCTTTCTTGGGTATCCAGGGGCCTTCTACAGCTAAAAGCAGCACCTGTTTTAGAGAAAAGCAATTGTAAACTAATTTTCAATGAAGCATTAGTGACACATAATAATCAGATGATTACCATTCCTAAAAGCTTTTGAATTTTAAAAACAAATGCCTAGAAAGAGTTGTATTTTATCCAAATTCATAATTCTCTATTGGTGAAATGCCAACCACGGTGGCAGTATGGGGAATAGCTAGCCAGTATACTTACAGTGCTTTTAGAAATAGCTGGAGAAAACAGCAATAGTAGAAACAGATTACATAAATTCAGTTTATTCATCATGTGTTTGGCCACCTCTGGATGACAGAAAGTTTACTAGATGCTGGGGAATTAATGATACAATAATGTATAAATGACAGATTAATAGCCAAAGGCCAGATACAGTGGCTTATGCCTATAATCCCAGCACTTTGGGAGGCCAAGGCAGGTGGATTGCTCGAGGTCAGGAGTTCAAGACCAGCCTGGCCAACGTGGCAGAACCCCCTCTCTACCAAAAACACAGAAATTAGCTGGGCGTGGTGTTGCATGCCTGTAATCCCAGCTACTCAGAAGGCTGAGACATGAGAATCGCTTGAACCTGGGAGGTGGAATTGTAGTGAGGCAAGATTGTGCCATTGCACTCCAGCCTGGGCAACAGAGCAAGACCCTGTCTCAAAAAAAAAAAAAGAAAAAACAAAGAAATTAATAGCCAAGAAAAAAATGTTATCTGTTCATATTTTTCAATGGAGGATTCAAGGATAAATTAACATTTACAAATCATCTACTACTTGCCAGCTATCCCACAGTATCTCTCATGTATATTATCTCATTTAACCTTCACAAAAACCTATCAAGATATTGCCCCCAATTTGTAGGTGAGGAAAAAGAAGATGAGAGAGGTTATCTAAAGCCATATAACTAATTGTTGCAAATTGGAATTTGAATCCAGGATGTTGTAATCTATACCACAGTGAGTGTTCAACAACAACAAAGAGTATAGGAGTGAAAGAAGGCCGGGCACAGTGGCTCATGCCTGTAATCCCAACACTTTGGGACACCAAAGTGGGAGGATCACTTGAGCTTGGAAGTTCAAAACCAGCCTGAGCAACATAGCAAGACCCTTTCTCTCTATAAAACATACATGCATGCATACATACATACATACATACATACATACATAAACAAATAATAAAAATGTTTTAAAAAGGGTGAAAGAAGAGAAAAAAGAAACACCACTCCATGTTTAGACTCATATTTCCTGCCTTTAGTATACTGTAGAGATATTGCCAGAATACTTCATTGTTATACTTACTTAAATAAAACTTTGGCTAGAAATCATGTGTAATTGTTTCTTTATAACCTGAGGTTCTAAAGTAATTATATGAGATGCAGACCCCTGCCTTCTTGTGAAGGCAAATGGACAAGTGGTATTAGGCATTGTTAGTCATCATACTTTAGGGAGCTTATTAACTGTGATGATCTGAACTGAAAGGGAAATGGACAGTATGTTTGCCAAGGTAAGATATAATTTTCATATGAGGGACTAATGTAAAAACTTTAAAAGACTCATTATAAATTCATTTTGTTCTTGACTGCTTCAGCAAGTGAAACAGCATCACTTCCTAATGTGACTACATCGACTTACTAAAGATTCAATATTTGGTGGGCTTTGGAATGTAGAAAAACTTACTGTATATAGAATACTTTAGGCTTGTCCTTTTAATTAAGAAGCACAAAATGTGTCATTTACATAAGATACTAAAGTAGAAATGATCTCATAATACTAGCTCCTCAAAAGTATTATTTTCTCAGAGGTATATGAAATTGGTGTATTCAACTCCACCTAAATTCATTAAATCACATGGGATTTCAATGCTAACATATAAAACAAACCATTTCAATGACACAATTATTACTTTTTTTTTTTTAAATAAGAAAACAATTCAAGTATCAAAACCCTGTGGCCGGCAGAGTTGTTTTTGTTTGGGGAAAAGTTGAGAAAAAGAATGACAAGTAAGGAAATCTAGTTTGTTTAGATTTCAAACAAGAGAATCTAGTGCTTTTTACTTTAAAGCTAAGTATTTCATCTTATTTTTGAATAATGTCCCTATATATTATTTCTTCTTATGTTTGCCTTCTATTTTTGTTTTTCATTACCACTAGGAACAGATTTTGACTATCAGCTAGACAATGTAGTTAATCAGCGTGTGCTAATTTTATACCTTTAAATTTAGAGCATCAGGTTGTTTTATTTTATTTTATTTTATTTATTTATTTTTTTTAACTGACATAGACTGAATTTTGGTGTAAAGGGCTGCTGTTATTTTACTCCAGTTCTTTGAAGGATACTTATAAAAGTACTCTTTCCAATTGGCCAACTGTTAATAAACAGTGTGTAAAAATGTTTGAAAGGGTAAGTTCAGAGCAGATATTACCCAGCATTTCCTCCTAAATAAAAATGAAGTATTTTCATTTTGAGAGTTATAGTCATTCTATTTTAAAATCATCTATTCTCATCCTAAATTTGAAAACAACAACAACAACAACAACAACACTGAACATATTGGGCATCCTGTTCCTATATAATTTTGTGTCATCGATTTGTGGGTGCCCTCTTGGATGATGATGATGATCTGAAGAGACTTGCAGAGTACTTACTCCTACTCTTTCAGCTAACCAATGGAGAAAGTAAGAGAGAGTGATGGAGTTACAGGCAGGGTGCAAGATTAGAAGAATTGGGGTTTTTATAGTTACCTGGCAGGAAAAAGAAAACAGGAAAGCAGGGCTGAGAAAAATAGTGGGTACTGAAAACAAGAAAAAGACATCAGTATCCTTAAGTGAATATATTTTATGTTCAAGGTTGAAGGCAAATGAATTAAATAGACACTAAATCACAGATGATGGGGTAATAAATAAAGAGGATGGAGTTATAGATAATCATGAAACAGAGAGGATTTTAGTTTTGAAGGATAGAGAACCAGGCTTTAGTTTAAAAATATGGTTAGAAGAGTCCTTAGGCAGAGACATTAACTTGCAGAGATAGCATCTAGACAACATCAGAAAAGAAGTTTCATCATGGCAAAGTTGTCAGTTTAAAGGTTTCTGTAACAAATCAGCTTCTGTTGACTTAGAAATTTACAGTTAATCTTTTTTGAGTCTCATAATATTTTTAACTAAATCTACTTCACTTAAAGGTATTCTATAATTTAATATCTTTTTGCATCATTTGTGAAGCACTTTTTGGTTAAAAAAACAATGATTTGAATACCTATAATTCAAGCATTTCTTAGAATGCTCTGACTTCCTGTGCTTTCTGATACGATGTCAAACCTTTGGCATTAACTTTCACTAATACCATTTTGGAGGTTTACACAAATACACAGGGATGCAAGAGGCAATTTTTAAAAACGAATATTCATGTCATATTGTTATGTCATCAGTTTTGGATATATTTACTAAAGCAAGACTAAGGCAAAGCTAGATCTTTAAAATTATATTATTTTAATGTTCCACCAAATATGACAGCATGGAAGATGTCACTTATTCTTACCACCAATGGTGCTCGTTTACTACCATTTAAAGGAAACTGATACATAGTGTGTTTATATTCTTACTGGAAAAGAAACATTGTTTTTCAAGGAAGGAAATGAGGATAGTGTTTTGCTTCAGGTCATACAAAGTTGCTTTGCTGAGATTAGAAACCTTGTAGTGCCCAACCATGTAATTTTATCCACTCATTGGACCAAAATACAGTGCCAACCAAGAATGAGAACACATTTGTATCGTTCCAGTCAAAAACGTAGTTGTAGCTGTAACTTAAAGTTCTACGAACATATTTTCATGGATACCATTTTAAAAAAAGTTACAAGGGGCCGGGCGCGGTGGCTCAAGCCTGTAATCCCAGCACTTTGGGAGGCCGAAACGGGCGGATCACGAGGTCAGGAGATCGAGACCATCCTGGCTAACACAGTGAAACCCCGTCTCTACTAAAAAATACAAAAAACTAGCCGGGTGAGGTGGCGTGCGCCTGTAGTCCCAGCTACTCGGGAGGCTGAGGCAGGAGAATGGCGTGAACCCGGGAGGCGGAGCTTGCAGTGAGCTGAGATCTGGCCACTGCACTCCAGCCTGGGCGACAGAGCAAGACTCCATCTCCAAAAAAAAAAAAAAAAAAAAAAAAAGAGGAAAATGGGAGATGCAAAAGAACAAAAACGAAACAAAAAAAAGTTACAAGAACAATTCTGGAAATGTGGGATTCATGTTAGCCATGGCTAAATTTTGACATAAGGCACATATAAGTGTGTCTTTATGCATGGACATACATATGGCTGTCTTAGAATTCGAGTAAATCACAACCAAAGGCATATTCATAGTTCTGTGTTTAAAATCTCTCATCGATTAGTGTATACTATCCTCTCAGAAGTTGAGGATAGTGTATACTATCCTCTCAGAAGTAGAACCATGTTGTAACAAACCAGATTAATGTCACAGTTTACACATAGCTGTAGTCTTTCGCAAGTAAAAGCTTCAGTCCATATAAGCCTAATATAAATGACTAAGTAATTGGTTATTTTACATCTTTTTAGACACAGATAACCTTAGATTAATAGTGACTGATGAAAAGAAAATAGCCCAGAATTATGTGATCCTAACAAGTCCACTATTTCTCACTTTTTAATTATTTTCTGTTCTCATGATTATGTGTAATCTTTTATGCAGAGATATCACATTAGATATACTTTTCCCCCTTCTATTATTAGATTATAAGCATTTCTATATATTACTACTCATGGTTACTGTTTTAAATAGCTGCCTATTATGCTGTTTGTTGATGTCTCAGCATGACTTTGTTTATATGAGAGGTATTAAGCTTATGCTGTAAACACCTTTATTAATCTGAGATTTTGTATGCTGTTTTGTTAGAGGAAACATTCTATTAATGGTGGCACATTTCAAGTAAAAGCATGTGCTTTTTATTTTCAAATCGCTTATGGCAAAAATTCATTTTCAGTTCAATAAAGTATGTGTTTGTAAGCTTTGGCATCTGCCCCTTGACTGGTAGATGTGCAGGCTAAGGAGTTTTAAGTGTTTGGTTTTGCTTTTGGTAGTTCTGTGTGTATGTGTGTGTGTGTGTTTCTTTTCAGAAGGGGAGGGTAATGTCTTCTGTTGGAACATGCACTCCACCCTCTTTGATAAGGCTTGTGGTAAGATTTGCATCACTACCCATGACAGTCATCCTCATAGCATTAAGCACACAGCTCTTAGCTCCCATAATGATGCGTGGAGGGTGGAGTGTATTGCAGCCATATTCACCTTTCATTTGTGTGTTTGATGTGGCATTTATATTAAGTAGGAGTAATTTTTTTTCTGATTTTTTTTTCTTGTGTCACCAGTGCACCTATTCCATTCTTCCATCGCTGTGCTCCTGTGAACATTTCCTGCTATGCCAAGTTTGCAGAGGCCCTGATCACCTTTGTCAGTGACAATAGTGTCTTACACAGGCTGATTAGTGGAGTAATGACCAGCAAAGAAATTATATTGGGACTTTGCTTGTTATCACTAGGTAATTGTTTTTCTCATTATTAGCTATTGCATAGTATTGGAGAAGAAGACTGTTTTGTCTTTTAGCCAAAATATGAATACAACTGGGGATACTTGTAAAATGTTTAACTTCCCATAGCCAAAATCATTGTTTCAGATTATATATAGTTAAGAATATGTACATATAAGTATGTATATATATCTGAAACTCATTCCCTTTTTTTCTTTCATGGGAGAAAACTAGTGTTTTCCCAAACATTGGTTACTTAGTCCACAGCTACTTTAATATGATAGCAGGAGGCTTCTTTTAATGAATCAACTACCCTCTGTTTTTAGTTATGATTCCTAAAAGGTATATTTACTTATACAGGAGGCGACATATTCTCTTATATATTCCCATCTAAGAATATAGATTTCTGATAGATTAGTTTTGAAGTATGTAATTTCCTTTTCATTGCTACAGTGCATAGTATCAATGTATTGCTGGAAAAATTAGGAAATCTCCACCTATTAGCCACTGAGTTTTCTAGTCCATAAATAGATAATAAATCAAATAAAAATTTTATTTTCAAGATTAACACTCCCTGTATTATTCTAGAACTATGTGTACCTTATCAGAATGTATAGGCCTTCTTAGTTGGGAGAAGTAAACTATGGTAGGAACCAACAGCTATTTCATTATATAAGTAAACTTAGTATTTATGCCTGTTAACAATTATAGCCATTGAGAAGATACAAGCTGTATTTCCGTCTTTCCTGTCATTAGAGAGTATTTTCTTTTTGCTTAGGTAGTACTTGACTCAATTGAAATAATGCTGTCCATATGAAAATCTATTTCTGTGATATTTGAAAGGCTCCCATCTGTTTTTGGTTCCTGTACATTTATTGCAAAAGTGAGTACCTCAATAATGTTACCTAGACACGAATCCCAACCATTTATTTGGCTTTGCAAGTGGCCCAAAGAAACTTGACTCTTAGTCTAGCTTTATATCAAAATTATTTGGTTTTTGAAATAGTTGAATACTTTAACCAAAAAACTAAAAATCCAATTAAAAATAGTGCCAGTAATGTTAAGCCATCAGAATTCTATTTTTTATTAGAATGATTCTCTTTTGAGGCTTAAGTATGTAATATAAACTTAAAAAATCTTTGTTCATTTTTTGTGGAATGGGCCTTTAGATAATTAAGAAATTTATAAATTATTATTTCAGAAATGTAATTCCCATGCAATGGTTAAATCTTTCCTTTCTTCCTTAAGATTTTTACTCAGTATTATAGCACATGGGATTTAGCTTGGGGCAGGTAGAATAATTGGCTGTATAACTCAAACAGCTTTGCTCCTTTTTGAGGAAGGTCTCCTTACCTGGGACCCCCGACCTCAGTTGAGAAATTAGACAGAGGAAGTTCGGCCATCGTAGGCTTCAAGATGTTACTCCACAGGGTCAGACCATCCTTTGGAGTTCTAGAGGAGAAACAGCCAGAAAAGGATAAGATGCCATTTAGCTTCTGGACTGACTGTCAGAGAAGTTAAGTTGGTCCTGAAATACATAGATTACTCAATAAAGGGTAGCGCCTAATTTAACTGATCTCTGTCTATGTGTAGTAATTTTTCTTGTCACCAACATGACATGTCATTCTCTACACTTTGTGTGCTGGCATGTATGTTTGCATGTCTGATGTCTTCCCCGTGGTGAATCCACAACAGTCCTGTGCTGTTTTTGAGTCACCATGTGCATTTGCATGTATTTTTTTCTGTAGTTTATAAACCCACAGTTAGGTGACTTTGGTTTCGAGTGACGCTATTTAAGTGGTACAAGTAGCAAAGTCAAATACAACAGCAGCCAGTTTCCTTCCTTATCTAAATTGTGGTCAATAGCAACAGATTATTTCCCTGGGGAAAAAAGCAACCGTCGAAAAGGTTTTCTTTATATTTACCTGTGTTTTCAAATAATATTCTATATGTTCTCTATTTATCTTCCCTGCAGTTCTATCCATGATTTTGATGGTGATAATCAGGTATATATCAAGAGTACTTGTGTGGATCTTAACAATTCTGGTCATACTCGGTTCACTTGGTAAGCTATTTATTTCTTTGTTTTCATGGTACTTAACTACTTTAGTAGAAAATAGAAATATAAAGAAGAAAATAAATTTTATTTTCACATGCTATATCTTCAAGGAAGACTGTTAATTTTTGCCTTAAAATTTCTCATAATTCTATTTGCCCCTCCCCTCATTTCATCACTGTTGGCATTTGAAGTCCAGACTTTTTTTCTATGCATATGTATATGAACATATATAGTTAAATTTTACCAGCTGAATATGAAACCTTTTAGTAATGGAATTTGTTCTCATTACATTTATAATCTTCACTGGTATGTTTGGTCTTACTGTTCTCATCTGTTCTGTCTTTCCTGAAATTCTTTAGACTACTGTGATTATTAAAGTCAGAAATAAGATGATATATGTTGAGTTCTCCCCTACCTCCCTTAAATTTAGCATAAACTTTGCTTCCTTTCATCCCCTACTCTCTTCTGCTCCCTCCCACTTTTTGCCCTAGTCTGAGCTTTTGTACTAGGGTTATAATTAAAGTTAAAATATTATTTTCACCTGCTGTATCTTTTTAAAAATCTTGTTTATCTTTGCCTTAAAAAGTTTTATGATTATATTTACATTTACGTTTTCCTGGACTAGTTTTAGTAGGAACTACTTGTCCTTCTTCTATAAAGTAGTACAGAACTGCTAGTAAGGAAAACTAAATCAGTTATTTGGAAATAAATTTGAAGAGGTTTTCCTGAATGTAAAGGAAAATTACCAAAAAAGTAAAATGGTAAGTTAGAAGATGATAGCAGAAGAATAAACCGTGACCTCAGGAGAAAAAAAAAAAAAAGGAACAGAAACAATAATCAAATACACAAATAAAAAATTTCAGAATTAAAAAGATTCCCCCAAAAGATCATAGGCAAATTTAATTATGATTCAGAATTAGACGAAACTTTAAAGCTCTAGATATTAATAGTGTTGTGATGATTAAATTAGATCACATCTATAAAGGACATGGCACAGTTCCTAACACAAATTAAAAGTTTAATAATAAATACTGTCTACCATGGCTATTGTGAATAGCTTCCTCCTTGACATCATTATTTCAATTTCATTCTATTTTTTTAACTTCAGCTTTTCTCCTATAATTCATTTCTGTTTCTAGGAAACATATTTTCTTCTTCCATTTTCTGAATATATTAAACATTTTTCCGAACAATTTTCTTGTACCTGCAAGACTTCAAAATGGAAACATTCCCCTTGCTCTCAAATGTTTTCCACCAATTTCTGGTAGTTTTGATTTCTTTCCTCCTCTTCAACAGATGGAAAATTTGTACTTGGTGTTTGCCAACAAATAGGCAATGGAATTTGTCTTTGACCTCGTTCACTCTTGAGTGCAGATGTTGATGTACCTCGACTTTACTTCAGTTTTTTATCTCCCAGACATTTATCGTATCAGCCACACACACACACATCTCTCTACTCTGAATTATCCATTTTTTTACTGTGACCTACAAGGCCTTACAGTATGGTCTGGTCCCCAGCTACCTGTCTGCCCACATCTCTACCACTGTCTGCATTGTTCATTGCAGTAGCCACAATGGTCTTCTTTCTCTCATACTAAGGATGATTCTACCTCAGCCTCTTTGAACTTTGCCTAGAACACTCTTTCCTTAGATAGTGTCATAGATTGCTCTCTGTCTTTGATTCCGTTGCTCAGTTATCATCTTACTAATACCAGTGAGGCCTTGCTTACCCATGATGTATAAAATAGCAAAGCTTTCCCTACCCAAACACTCTATATCCTTCTTACCAGGAGATCATTTTTTCTTTAGACTTAATATATTGTATTTTTCCTTGTTTTCTTATTTTTCCCCCCCTACTATTACATAAGTTCCATGAGCAGCAAGAGTGAGGACTCAGCCTTGTTTACTGCTCTATCTCTAGCTAGAACAACAGGTGCTGTAGCATTCAAAATGTTTGCTGAATGGGTTGAAGGTAAGTATGTAAGTCAGCTCTCATATGTGGAGGTAGGTTTGTCTCCATCTTCAGTTTCGTTCTTTGAATCTCTCAACCAGTGTTGAAGATTAAAAAATGCTCATCCCTAGCACCCACCACTATCAGAGGTTTCCTCTTTGTTCCTCCCTTTGGAGGGAACTGTTCTTTTGATTTGCATGTATTCGTTGTACAAATATTTAATCAACTGCGTTACTGTGTCAGTGCAAGACACAGAGGTATCTGTGATGAGTACAACAGAGAAGATCCTTGCCCTCTTCAAGCTTCATTGATGTTTTCTGTGATGCTTATTTCCTTCCTTCAGCCTCCTCAGCTTAAATGCTGAGGCTCTTTCTTTGTGATCAGTTCCTCTCAGGGGTGTATGTTTCTACTAGCTCGCTGTTAGCTTCATAGTCAATAATAAATAAATTTGAAGGAAGCTTATTTGATACACTGAAGGATTTATAAGTGCTTAATGTGGAGGATGATAATAGAGTAATGGACACTTTCTTTATGCTGGCAAAAAGTTATCGCTACATACTTCCCAGCCAAATGGATTGTCACTGCATTAGTCCCATGATGATCAGTAGGAAGGGTCAAGAAAATTGAGAATTTATGTTACACATTTTCTTATGCTAATTACTGCATTAAAAATTGGGTCTTTTGTCTCCAGGAGGCACAGGTGTACTATGGTGGCTATATGCAAAGCAAAGAAGGTCTCCCAAAGAAACTATTACTCCCGAGCAGCTTCAGATAGCTGAAGACAACCTTCGGGCCCTCCTCATTTATGCCATTTCAGCTACAGTGTTCACAGTGAGTTTAGGCTTTGGCTTGTCTTTTGGTTTTGTGTTTTATTTGCAGGAGATCATTAATGGAGCAGAAACTCAAATCTAGCTTTTGCATTCCTGACCCTGATCTCCAGTAGATAATATCTCTGTCCCATAGTGTATGAAACACTAAAAAATCTCCTGAAGGATTCCTTCGTGGATGAGTGCTATTTGATGAAACATTTTTTCTACCCTGACTGCTTTTTGAGAGAAGATTTTCACCTAGAATATTTACATTACCATTTGCTTACAAGAACATATTTCTTACTGTCATAAGATAATTACTTTTTAAAAATGATTCCCTTTACTGCAGAAAAGTATGTTAAAAAATATATCATTCCATTTACTTGTTCACTAATTATCTTCCCATTTGTCTTTCAAACTTTTCATTTAACAATATGGCGTTATTTCAGAAATATACGTCTGGTCAGGTACAGTGGCTTATGCCTATAATGCTAGCACTTTGGGAGACTGGAGTGGGAGGATCACTTGAGCCCACGAGTTGTAGAGCAACCTGGGCAAGATAGTGAGACCCTGTCTCCATAAAAAATTAAAATCAGCTGAGCATGATGGTGTGCACCTGTGGTCCCAGCTACTTGGGAGGCAGAGGTGGGAGGGTCACTTGAGCCATGATTGTGTCACTGCATTACAGGCTGGGCAACAGAGTGAGAACTTATCTCCAAAATATATATGTGTATTTTTGTGTGTGTGTGTGTGTGTGTATGTGTGTGTGTGTGTGAGATTTGCTGCTTAGGTATTAAGCAATAAAATTACCAATTAACATGTGGTTAAATAATTTATATGTATATCTTTGGTTCATCATTATCTTCTCTCTGAAAAAAGAAAAAAAAATCATTACTTCTAAGAGCAATCCCAAGCTTTTTATTGAGCATCAGAAACAAAAAATAAAGCCACCATAAAACCATTGATGCCAAAAGATATTTGTTAGTTATTGTTATACAGATATTACAACAAAATATGAATGAAATCTCATTTTAGGTACAATTTGCTGTGCCAGCTGCTGGAGATGGGATGTGGGGGTGGGAGGAAGCAAGGGGTGAATCTGAGACAGATCCCACTTTTAAGGAGCTGCTGGTCTAATAAGGAAGATAGAAATAAAAACCTCATTTTTGTGGTGTATCTGTTTAAATAAAGAGTCTCATCCTGACTGACAATATGTTTTGATTCATAATGAGTGGCAAAGGGAAAAGGAAAAAATTCTAGGATGTATTAATAAGTTGATAAATCCTTTATATTTTGCTTTAAAGGACACTTGGTAACCGTAATATACAATTGACAATAAATATTGCAAGAGAGATACTTACTGCTAAAATATTATTGAAATTCAAAGAATGCTACCTCCAGGTTTGGGAGTGAAGGGTTATGTTAAAAATTTCCACTATTTTCGGTTTCTGTTTTCACTACTTATAATAACTGAAACCATTCTCTCCATACAGGTGATCTTATTCCTGATAATGTTGGTTATGCGCAAACGTGTTGCTCTTACCATCGCCTTGTTCCACGTAGCTGGCAAGGTCTTCATTCACTTGCCACTGCTAGTCTTCCAACCCTTCTGGACTTTCTTTGCTCTTGTCTTGTTTTGGGCGTACTGGATCATGACACTTCTTTTTCTTGGCACTACCGGTAAGAAGATATGCTTCTTTCTCTTAGTGACAAACGTGATTTGCATTCCAGTATTTTAGAACATCAGAGAGAGGTGATTCTTCAGACATTTGTTGGTGACGGTCCAATAGCCATCAGAACTTGTAGTGGTTATGGCTCTTCAACAACGCTCTTCAACAACGTACTCCATATTCGTCTTTTTTTTTTTAGACAGAGTCTTGCTCTGTCACCCAGGCTGGAGTGCAGTGGCGCTCTCGTGGTTCACTGCAACCTCCGCCTCCCAGGTTCAAGCGATTCTTCTGCCTCGGCCTCCTTAGTAGCTAGGACTACAGGCACGTGCCACCATGCCCGCTAATTTTGTATTTTTAGTAGAGAGGGGTTTTTACCATATTGGCCAGGCTGGTCTTGAACTCCTGACTTTATGATCCACCTGCCTCAGGCTCCCAAAGTGTTGGGATTGCAGGCGTGAGCCACTGCTCCTGGCCTTTTTTTTTTTTTTTTTTTTTTTTTTTGAGACAGAGTGTCTCTCTGTCGCCCAGGGCTGGAGTGCAGTGGTGCAATCTCAGCTCACTGCAACCTCTGCCTCACGGTTTAAAAGATTTTTCCTGCCTTAGCCCCCGAGCAGCTGGCACTACAGGTATGACACCCACGCCTGGCTAATTTTTGTATCTTTAGTAGAGACAGGGTTTCTCCCATGTTGCCCAGGCTGCTCTTGAACTCCTGGTCTCATGTGATCCGTCCACCTCAGCCCTCCAAAGTGCTGGGATTACAAGCGTGAGGTAGCCGCAGCCCATATTCGTGATTTTTAAGAACATCCTAGCCATGTAAGTCTAGATCAGGGAAGGCCTGGAAATTGCATTCAATTCTGAAATGATCATGAATTTGAAGTAAGTTCTGGTACTGACGCAGACATTTAAGATTCCTTCTAAGATGAACCAATGAATGCAGTGTCACTCAGGAGTTACCTCACTCCCAAGTATTAGCCACGAAGGATATACTTACCTTCCTTGAGACTTTCTAGTTTGGAAATGATAGACCCTAACTAGAGAACGATCCAAGTGAGGGATATAGTTAATAGTTAGACACTCAGACTTACTTTCGCTTTTTTTTTTTTTTTGAGGACGGAGTCCTCGCGCTGTCGCCTGGGTGGAGTGCAGTGGCGAATCTCAGCTCATGCAAGCTCACTCCCGGGGCTGTTGCGCCATTTCTCCTGCCTCAGCCTCCCGTAGTTAGCTGGGCTACAAGGCGGCCCGCCACCTCGCCACCGGACTATTTTTTGTTTTTTTTAGTAGAGACCGGGGGTTTTCACTGTGTTAGCAAGATTGGTCTCGATCTTCTCGACCTCCATGATGCGCGCCCCGACACTGCAGAACTTTTCTTACCAGCCATACCGAATATTCAAAGTTGTAAACTTAAATGGAAAGTATTCATAAGGATTAGTAAACTTGTACATGTAACTATGTAACTTATCTGTCCATTCAGCACACCACACTTTGTTTTTTATTTTTTTTAAAGCAATTGAAATATATAATAATTTTCTGTACTTTGGCTAAAGAATCTATATGATTGGATAAATAATAGGTCTTGAAAAACTGAAGAATGTATTGAAAATTCATGGTTAAACTAATAATTGATATATAAGAAGAATTTTATCAAATAGAACAACTTTTTAAAAGTTTATATGGAATGGCCTCTGAGGCGCATCAAAAATGCATAATCAGTACAATTCTTATTTCACAACTTTTCAAGTGATAGTTTGTTTTTGTCCTCTTGATGAAAATAGGCACACGGAGCCAGAAAGGTTTGTGGCTTGGGTTAGGGGACCTATTTGCCTTCCTATTTAATTGGCCGTTATTTCTGGATTCTGTACTTTATGTGGCTTTTCATTCACTCCTGTGATATTTTCCGTAGGCAGTCGGCAGAAATGAGCAAGGCTTTGTGGAGTTCAAATCTTCGCGGGCCCTCTGGCAGGTACATGTGTCGTTACCATGTGGTGGGCTCTGGATTTGGATCAGTGAATTTATTCTGGCGTGTCAGCAGATGACAGTGGCAGGAGCTGGTGGTAACATACTCTATTTTACTAGGTGAAATTTGTGTTATTAGAACAACTCAAGTTCATCTAGGGACGGTGTCCCGACAGGCTGGGGGAAGGGAATCAGACTGGGCTCGGTTAGGGAGTTTTCATTCTCTTTAACAAAATAATTGGAATAATATCGATAGCATGTTAATATAGTGATAATTCTGGGAAGGTGGTCAAATT